CGTTTCTGTCGTGTTTTAAAAATACAAATGGCGGGGTTTACTGAAAATATCGGCAGACTTCTTCAAATCCCCACAAGTAAAAAATCAAATTGCCGAGAAATTGTTTTCTTTTAATTTCGAAAAACTGTGAAAAAAGATAAAACTCCGCTATTTTATTTTGATAATCAAAATTCAAACTCTCTTTGCTGGGGTCGTCATGATGTCCACAGTTCTGGTAATTCTGAGTTTCTATCAGCTTTCAGCGCACGTCTTCTTACAAGATCAGAATTTTTCTCATTGTTACATGTTATGCGATTTTTGATTCAGAAAGTACTTTTAAAATATGTAAGGCCTGTTTTAGCAATTCTTTTACGTGATGTTTTCACGCCGCTNTGATGTTTTCACGCCGCTAAAAGGAAAAAAAAAAAAAAAAACAAGAAAACAAACGATCTAACACATTATCCAGACAATATCGACTAACTTTTGTTAACTTTCTGGCGTTCTAAAAACTATTATTACAATATCTGAAACCCTTGGCCGGGTTGCTCGAAAGTCGGTTAACGCTAACCCAGGATTAAAAGTTAACCGAAGTATTGATTTTTCTTGTAAAAAATGCTTTTCACTGCTTATGTTTTTTGTTATTTGAGATTATTCAAACTCAAAACTGAAGGACAAACAATGTAAACAGAAAACCTCACAGAAAAGTTCTCGCTAATCCTGGGTTAGCTTAATCGGTCTTTGAACAATCCGGCCCAGGGGCCCGTTGCTCGAAGGTCCCGAAAAGTTTTCGCACCCGGGAAGCCATAGCAAAATCTCGAACCTTATGATTACAGAGCTGTTTTATTCACATATTCTTAATATGAACGGAGGTTCCCTTCATACTAGCGGGTTTCAGGCGCATACACTTCTGTGTTTTTAGATACAGATGAACTAAAAATGGCTTTTCGGGCCCCAAAAGTTTCCGGGGCTTTCCAGAAACGGGCCCCTGGAGTTAAAAATCAAAACTGATATCTTACCTTAAGAAACGCTTAATGGACGAGAAATCGGAGAAGTTTAAAGGTGATGCTGTAGCCAACGGCAAAACGTGAACCCTAAATCACTGATGACATCGCGAGAAATAGACAATGGAAAGACATCTATTCACTAATCATAGTATAATTTTTGATATTTGCACTCTCACAATTAAGACAAAAGCGGTCACCAACTAGGACTACCTCGTGCTTATCACCTGCTGCACGTTATGTTA